AAAAAAAAAAAAAAAAAAAGCATTCATCCATGTCACTTTAGTTTTGTATATTTTACTGTACATAAATTATATTTCAATAAAATGCATTCAAATAAACAAACAAACAAATAAATAAATGTTAAAAAAAGTATTAGGTCATTGCTTCTGTCTTCAGTCATTGATGGGTTAGACTTAACTTTCTTTAAGACACCTGTCACAAATGCCCTTTGCACTTAACATGTAAACCTGCATTTTCCATGGATATACCTTCATTGTTGTTGTGTGTGACTGAGTTGATTCTGACTCATAGTGACCCTATATGACAGAATAGAGCCGCCCCATAGGGTTTCCTAGGCTGCAAATTTTACAGGTGTAGATTGCACGGTCTCTCTGCTGCTGTGGAGTGGCTGGTGGGTCTGAACCACGGACTTTTTGGTTAGTAACCGAGTGCTTAACCATTGCACCCCCAGGGCACCTCATACCTTCACTAAAACAAAAAAACCGATTGCCATAGTCAATTCCAACTCACAGTGACCCCCACTGTGTTTCCAAGGTGGTAAATCTTTACAGAAGTAGATTGCCCCACATCTTCCTTCTGCAGAGCACCTGGTGGGTTTGAACCACCAACTTTCTGGTTAGCAGTAGGTTAGGCACTGCACCACCAGAGCTCCTTCATACCTTCACTAGTCCCTTTATATTCTAGATTCTAATTTACTGAGTGTTTACTATGCACCAAGTCTTGTCCCAAGAGCTTTATATGTTTTAACTCATTTAGTCTTCACAACAATCCAATGTTGGGATAACATTATTGACCCAATGTTACAAGAAATGGAGGCATAGACAAGTGGTGTAACTTGTCCAAGATTTCACTTTCTCAGTGACAAAGCCAGAAATCAAACTCTGGGAGACTGGCCCCAAAGTTCATGTCCCCATGTAATCAAGCACTATTCTCTCTTCTCCCTTTTCTCTATCCATTCCTACTCAACATCTGAATACCTACTGCATGACACATCCTGTGATACATAATATGGGTATACTGAGAAAAAGCCTCTGTCCTCAGAAATGTATAGTATAATATGGCAACAGAAAGACATATGCAAAGAAAAAACAAGCTATACAGTGCATTAGAGAGTTATAAAACAATTTGGCTGAGAATTTGGAGAAGGGTAAGATGTCCATTTGCTGGGTTGTGGAGGTACTGTCCTGACAGACTGTCTTGACACTCTGGTATTGTCAGCCAGAGCTTTATAAAGGAGGAAGATCTTGAGACCTTAGGATATGGAGAAGCAATGATAGATTAGGGTAGAGGGGGAGGCTGGCCTTCTAGGCAGAAAGGGTTGGACTAGGATGAGGCAAATTCTCGTGTAAGGGCGGGGTCAGTGCCTGCAAGTGAGAGCCTCTTAACTGTGCACTCTGCCCTGGGTGCGTTGCTTGCTTCTTTAGCATGGTCCTGGGAAGGGAAGAGTTCAGGGCGCTAGTATGGAGTGAGTGAATGAAGTGAATGGCTGATAGAGATATAAACCAAAAACCAAACTCACTGCTGTCGAGTTGATTCGACTCATAGCAACCTCTCCTTGGGTTTCCAAGGAAGTAGATTGCCCTATCTTTCTTTTGAGGAGTGGCTGGTGGGTTTGAACCACCAGCCTTTTGGTTAGCAGTCATATTCCTTAGGCAGTATGCTATCAGAGCTCATATATATATATATATATAGAGAGAGAGAGAGAGAGAGAGAGAGAGAG